CAGCCCCCACCGGTGAGTGCCCGGCGCTGCCGAACGGTGTTTGCACGCTCAGGTTTAACCCCTCCCTTTGATGCGAGAGGCACAAAATTCAGGGAACGGCGAACAGGCGGATGGAAAGACACATCCTGAGGGGTTCGTTCCTTCAGTTGGAGGCAGAGGTGCTTTGCAGGGTGTCTGGGGCTGCCCGGGAGTGCTGGGACACGCAGGGAGGAGAGCAAAGCCCCAAGCGATGCAGGGCTGGGCACCCGGTGCTGCTAAAATGCCATTTAGGCGTGAGCCCGTGTCCCCAAACAGTTAAGGAATGAAAGCAGCTGCCAGCTTAGGGCACACCCATTACTTATTTAGTTTTGGGTGCTTGTGACTGCACCAGCGTATGGCAGCGGTGGGCTACGGCTGCACAGTGCGGGCTCTGGTGTCTCTGCTGACCTGGCAATGGTTGGCTTCCACTTCCCCAAATCCTAACAGGGGTGACCAGCGGCGCCCTGAGCTTTGAGGAGGTCTCGCCTGGGTAACCGTTGTTATTTGCTGGGGTTTTTCTGAGCCCGCACACACACACACGGTTTGGAAAACCTCATCCAGCTCCATCGCCAACTCTTAAATGATGAAAGAGCGGATGAAAATAACTTTTTCTCAGGCTACGGGGGGATATTTTGGTGCCCTTTGAAGGTTTTGTTTCTTCTTTCTTGAGAGACAGATTAAAAAGCAAACTTAGAAAACTTTTGCTCTGTTTTCTGTAGCATCTGCAGCGCTGCCGTGAGCTGGGGCTGGGGAGGATTAGGGAGCGTGGTGTCGCTGTTGGATTTTGGGGGAGAACGCTTGAAGTCAGGATACTGAGATTTCTTGAGGAGCTCCAGCTGAACCAGGCTGTTTTGGGGGGCTGCTGCAGCAGTTTTCACTGCGTTTTGGCTGATTTTAAACTTTAAGCTGGGATTCAGTCACCAAGGAGCATCCAGCCAGAGCATGTCCCACCACCATGCAGGGACAGGGAGGATTCCCCCCTCTGCATCCTTGGTCCAGGGCGAGCGATGCATGGGAGATCCCTGCAGCCAGAGACAGGAGCAGCCCCCAGAGTCACCCCAGGGATGCCTGGGGTCATTACTGATATATTTAGCTTTGGGGAGTCCAGGAGCTCTTTTTTCTCTATGGGAAACCATGGAGAAAAGCTTTTACCACCGCCTTTTTTTGACCCAGCTCCTAAATTCCCCTCAGCAGAGCAGGTTGGGCAGTTCCTGATGGAGAATCTGCCCCTCCTGCACCCCGTGATGGACCGAAAACGGTGCCACTCGCGTCTTATTCTGCTCTTTTTTCCCCCCTTTCCCCAGAAATATCGTCTCGGAGCTGGAACAACTCATCTTCATCAACACGGACGTCGGCCGCTGCCGCGCCTGGCTGAGGCTGGCTTTGAACGATGGCCTCGTGGAGTGTTACCTGAACCTGCTGCTGCGGGAGAGGTCCCGGCTGCCCGAATACTACCAGACCACCGCTCTGCTCCTGGATGCCGAAGAGTGCGAGTTTCTCCTGAGCTACTTGCAGGGTTTATCGTCCTTAACCTTCGAGCTGTCCTATAAATCGGCGGTTTTGAACGAGTGGACCATCACCCCTCTGTCCCTGTCGGGTTTGTGTCCCGTTTCGGAGCTGCTGGAGCCCCTCGCGTCCTCGACATCCGAACCCCGCAGAAAAGCATCGCTGGGTTCGATCTCCCAGTCATCGGGGTCGGACGAGATCGAGATTCAAGCCTCCGTCCTGCCCATCAGCAAAGCCAGCAGCAAAACCAAGCTCACGTCGTCCTCGCTGAGCCTGAACACCACCAGCTCGTCCCAGCTCTCCTCCAGCCTGGGCTCCGACAGCGTCCTCCCGCCCCACTGCTCCCGCAGCCCCTGCGACTCCGACCTGGGGACGGCCACCACCGAGGACCTGGACAGGTCGCTGCGAGAGTGAGTCCTTTCCCAGATCTCCTCTCCCATTGGATTTTTAACCCTGGGCTGGGCTTTAAGCAGCAAATTATTTTCCCTTCTTTTTCTTTAACAAGTTTTGGGTTTTCCTCCTGGAAAGAGCCTGAAAGGTGGAAAAAAAGCCACTCAGCACAGCTTGCTGGGACCCTGCTGCCACAGCAAATGAGCTCCCGACCACTGAAGCGCGTGTCTGTCCTCTTTACGGGGCTGAAACGTCAGAAAAATGCTGCTCCCCGCTCTCAGGAATGTCACAGCTCCCCACGCGGGCGGACGCTGGGGGATGCTCCGGGGCTTTCTGCGGGGAGGAAGAAATGGGTCCGGTGGCAGGAAAGGGTTGTCATGTCATGTGCAGCTCGGGCAGATAATTTGGAGGAGGGAGGTTGCTGGTTTGTCGTCCTCGTGATTTGTTTCTGCCAAACACAAAAGATTTCCAGCGGGTTATGTAAGCTCTGAGTAATCAGCAAACATTTTTCCCTTGCCACCTTGAAAGCCTGGGTCTGGAGGAGCCTGGCCTGGGGGTGCGGGGTGGCCAAGGCGCCCCCTTCCCAATAAGGGTCTTCAATAGGGCTTAGGGCTGCGGTCTGTTCCTCCCCATCCTTACCTACTTGTAGGGTTTTGCATCTGATGGTGATCCTGGAAGAACCTGCCTTAATTGGATTAAACCCGTGATGGAAAGGCGTCCTTTTGAATTCTAATCTTGGGCTGCTTTAATTTGACTTCACCGGTGGCAAAGCACAGGGCCATGGGAACAGCGTCTGGGCTGGCCGGGCCCCGCTGGTAATTGCTCATTAACTGTTACGAAAACACTTGAAATTTGGCACATGGCGCATGGCTGGATGAGTGTCCAGGAGCCGTACGTGGAGCACCCAGCGCTCGCCCTCCCTCACAAGGTGTCCATCAGCAGGGAATTAAACCCCATTAACAAGTGTAGGTAGGAAATGGAGCCTTTGCAAGCACAGTCCGTGCCTCAGTGGGGTCGACTGCAGCTCTGAGGGCACAAATCACATTTTTCTGTTAGCAGGACTGGTGCCACAGGGGTTTTTGCAGCCATACGGTGCTGCCAGCCCACAGGAGTCGAGCAGTGATGCTGAGCCCTTTGTTAAATGGTTATGAATTGCAATAACTGGGGGTTTTAACAGATTCTGCCTAATGTAGCTGCATTCAAACCGGTCACTCTCCTCTTTCCAGGGTGTTGTCCGAGTTCAGCAAAGCCAAGCCAAGCCCGGAAGCCCCGCAGGGAGGGCAGGTCCCCAGCGTGCTGGGCTGCTCCCCACAGCCACCCGCCTGCCCCCTGCCTGCATTGCCTGTCCCCCCAGCACCGTCCCCTCACATCAATGGCCCCCCAGAGCCATCACCCCACACCAACGGCCCACGCTCCTCTGGGACAAGCAGCACGGTAACCGCCAGCGGTGGGGATGGAGATGCAGCACCGCAAGCCAACGGCACGGCCGGCGTTTCAGCCTCACGGTGTGGAGATCCGAGCGGAGGAGAGACGGGCAGAAGCATCGTGGTCAGCAGCAGCGAGGCGAGCCAGGCCGTCCGCAGCCCGACGGCCCAGTACCTCCTCTCTCCGCTGCTGGGTTGTCCGGTAGGTGTTACAGCTCACTTGCCATCCGTGTCCTTGACTTTGTGCTTCCTGACCATGGAAAACATGGACACAAACTGGAACACAGGAGGTTCCACTTTAATTGGAGAAGAAACTTCTTCTCAGTGAGGGTGACAGAGCCCTGGCCCAGGCTGCCCAGAGAGGTTGTGGAGTCTCCTTCTCTGCAGACATTCAAAACCCGCCTGGACGCCTTCCTGTGTAACCTCATCTGGGTGTTCCTGCTCCGGCAGGGGGATTGGACTGGATGAGCTTTGGAGGTCCCTTCAAATCCCTAACGGTCTGGGATTCTGTGAAAAAGAAAATGAAACTGGTGACAGCTTCTGAGTAGGCACCCGTTTCTCTTAACTCTCACATTCCGTGCTGCTTTGAATCTGCCAGCAGCAAGTTGGGTGTAAGTGATGCTCCCCGCTCCATCAGCATCTTCCTGGACCCCATGGAGCTGTGTCCATGCAGCCACCCTGGGAAGAAACTGCATCCAAGTCAATATTCCCTGGTAAAAGAGGCACGGAAGCTTTGGCAAGCCTGCCTCACCAAGAGCGGCTGCAGCAGGAAGGTTTGGGGTTGTTAACGGTGTCTGGAGAGTGATGAGCTCTTGCACAGATCTGGCCATCGGCTGCATGCAAGCTGATAAAACAGCCTAAGAGTCGAGCTGCTCACGGGGACTTTTCTCTGGTTATGGTCCCCATAAGAGGAGGGAAAAGGGTTGACTGGATGGGAAGCAGATTACAGCTTTCCAGTGGGAAAATACTCACACAGCGCATCTGTTCCCGGAGCAGGATAGCATTCCTTGGTGCTTAGGCCAGCTTAACCAGCGGCGGATTTCCCCTGTTGCCGACAAGATGATCCACTTGCTTTTGCTTTTAGGAGACTCTTTCAACAGCCCTGTCCTCTGCCTGATTTGTTGCTGACTTTTCTGTTTTCCGTCCTGGCTCCTGTCATTTCCGTCCTGGTTCCCATCGTCTCCATCCTGGTTCCCATCATTCCCATGCTGGTGAGGTTAGGATACACCTCATACCCCCCTCAACGGTTTCTCTGTTTGCTCCCTGCTCCTTTCAGCTCCCAGTTCTCCCATTTCCGCTGCTTCCTCGTGGCTTCGGGCCAGTTTGACCTAATCTATGTATAACATACGGCCGTCAACAGGAAATTCCCCCCTTGCTTTCGCATGACTCACGGAGCAACCTGCGTTCCTGCTCCTGGAGTCAGCCGAGCCCGTCTATACGTTGGGAGCTGCACCGCAAACCACTCGTGATCCTCGCTGCGGGGCGATGATGGGACCTTCTGCTGTCGTTTGGTTCATTACTCAGGATGAAAAGCTGTTGGAAGGCAGGGCAGGGTGGTGGAGAGGCCATTCCCGGTGCGATGCAGCCCTGGGAGGGATGCCTTGGGTGTGGGGAAGCTGCTCCCTTTTCCCGCAGCACTGAGCTGGGTCGGGTTTTGCTCCTGGTGTTTGTCTGGGGACCTTGTCCCAAAACCTTGCTTCGCTCTTGTAGCAAAGACACCCAGAGAAGTCAACAGCCGTGTTTTCCTTCAGTTTAATGAGCTTTCTTCTGCTTGTGGTTCTCATGCCCTCCTGGCATCCAGAGACAGAGCTTTCCTTCCTCTGCACTGGTCAGGCCTGGTGTTTGTAGCATCCGCTTGCAAGATGCAGGTCTCTGCTTTCCCTTTCATGCTAGACATCATCTCTGTACCTCTCTTCATCCGTATCCTTCCTGGAACAAGGATGTATTCACTGCTCCAAGCAACCTCAAACCCTTCCACGGCAGCGCTGGCTTCTCAGCCTCTGTCAGAAACACTTCACAGACCAAACACCTTGCAGGGAAGGTGCTCTCCAAGCCCCTCAGTGATTTTAGGGGCAGAGAACTGACCCATTTTGGACTTTATAATCTCACCAGTGTATAATCCCAGTATTTGCTGGCTGCCAACACAGTCCCACGGAGCGTTCCCTGATGGGAGGGAGCAGGGGAGCCATCCACGAGGGAATGGAGCATCACTGCGTGGGATCCGCTCTGCATGGGAGCAGCCCCCGTGGACACGGAGGGGTCACTGGGTGTGTTGGAGGGGCACAGGGCGCTCAACAAATTCAATAATATATGTGTTTGTTATCATTTTAAACAGAAAAGAAAGAGCTGGATCTCAGAAGATGATTTCTACAGACCTTCTCTGGGAGACAGCGGCGAGAGCGCAGCCGAAATCAACGGCTTTGGGCCAGAGGGGGCTGGCGAGGGCCCGGCCCCGGGGCTGATCAGCGCCCTTGACCTGGAGCGGCTGTCGGTGCCGTCCTCGCAGAGCGAGAAGCCCAAAACCTCGCCCGAGCGGGAACAGAAAGGCTTCAGCGTTGTGCACCGCAGGCAGATGGGTACGTGCTGCCCTCCTCTCTCTGTGCTGGGCGGTGTTGAGGGGCTAAGGGGGCAGTTTTGGGTGGGGGGCAGTGTGGGAAGCACAGTTTGCCATTGGGGAGCTGCTGGCAGCACTCAAAGCTCCAGGAGGCAGCGGGGCAGCTTCCCCTGGCGCTGCTGAGCCCACGATAGCTCTGGAGGGATGCGTTTTAGGAGGAGAGGAGGTACGTGGGTGTCTGTGTCCCCATGTCTCTGCTCTGCAGGACACGTTTCCTTTATGCTCTCCCACTCATTCTCAGCTTCCAGACCCAAATGTGGATGGAAACCAAGGTCCTATAAACTCCTGCCCCATCCCACGCTCCACCAGCACCGGCTCAAAGCCACGATGCTTCTGATTCCTCACTGTGAGCCACCCGTTGGCTTTGCTTTCTCTACTTTTTTGGTTAAACCAATCCCTCTGCTTCTCCCCCAGGTCTTTCCAACCCGTTCCGAGGGCTCCTGAAGCTGGGCAGCCTGGAGCGGAGAGGAGCCATGGGGATATGGAAGGAGTTTTCCTGCGAGCTGTCGCCGCTGGAGCTGCGGCTCTTCCTGGACCACGAGGACCGCATCTGTGTCGAGAGCCATTCCCTGCTGCGCTGCGAGTCGCTGGCGCTGACGCACTCGGACGGCCGCTTCGAGCTGGTTTTCCTGGGGAAGAAGCTGTACCTCCGAGCTCCTTCTCGCGACGAGGCCGAGGACTGGCTGGACAGGATCCGCGAGGCGCTGCGCAAGTGCCGGCCCCAGCTGGAGGAGGAGGAGTGGGAGACGCTGGAGTATCCAGAAGACGGCGGCGAAGGCCACCCCGTCCACGGCGACTCCGCCGCTCTCCTGCAGTACAGCGACGTGCCTGCAAGCAGCTTTGACTGGACCCCAATTCACGAACCCGAGCCGGATGCGATAAAAGAGGCCGTTCTGTACGTGGACATAGACAAAACCTGGGTCCCCTTCGTTTTTTCCCTCTCCTTAGAAACTTTAAAGTGCTTTAAAATCCGAAACAAGGATAAAATTTTAAGCAACAGCTACGGCATAGAGACCATCCAGGACATCCTCCCAGACACCAGCCTGGGCGGACCAGCCTTCTTCAAGGTGATCACCTCCAAAGCCGTCCTGAAGCTGCAGGCGGAGAGCGCCCAAGAGGCGGCCTCGTGGTGGGGGCCGGGAGCTGGTGCGAGCGGTGCTCATGTCCTACCTGGAGAGCGCGGAGGAGGCGCTGACGCTGGGGGGCGGCTTGGACGGGCACTCCCAGGTGGTCCTGAAGAACATCGTGAAGGAAAACGGCTTCCTGCTGCAATACCTGGTGGCCATCCCCGTGGAGAAGGGCCTGGACTCGCAGAGCTTCATCTGCGCAGGTACAGAATCACAGAATGGCTCGGTTGGA